CTCCTTTCTGCCTGTCTGTGGTGAACTCAGCAGAGGCTGACTCCCCCCTGCTGTAGGAAAACTGTCCATGTCTCCGTTGGTTCTGCCAGGACCTGCGAATGCCATCCATCCAGTTCAAGGGGGAAATACAAGGTGGAGAAAGCCCAGTGTCTCTAGGTCCAAATAGGGTTCTTTAAATCGGTCCTCTTAACAAGAACATAACTGTATTATAATTCCCACCGACTCCTACATATTTCTCTGATTTATGGTAATTATCCCCAAATAGCTATAGCTGTTATGCAGGAAAATGTTTTTCATTTTTCTAACAAACATTTGCTAAAGGAAGAGATAATCAACCTGGAGGGCCAAGTTAAACCATACCTAGAGACAAATTAGGCCCAAGGATAGATTTTGAATATTTTTATTAACATTTTTAAATCATGAGATTTTGTTTCCTTCTCCTGTAGCATATTAGTCAAAGAAGCAGAAATGATGATGTGGTGTGACAGGGACAGGCAAAAAGATGACTGCCACTTTCTGTTTCTGACAACAGAAACATCAATGGAGGGATACATGGATTTATAACAGGATTATAAAGTTAATCGTCAACCTTTAAGCAAAACTTTGTAAAGAGCCTTGTTTCAGCTGGGCATGGTAGCTCATGCCTGTAATCCCAGCACTTTGAGAGGCCGAGGCGGCAAATCACTTGAGGTTAGGAATTCGACACCAGCCTGGCCAACATGGTGAAACCCCATCTCTACTAAAAATTAGCTGGACATGGTGGCGTGTGACTGTAATCCCAGCTACTTGGGAGGTTGAGGCAGGAGAATTGCTTGAGCCTGGGAGGTGGAGGTTGCAGTAAGCTGAAATTGCACCACTGTACTCCAGCCTGAGTGACAAAACAGGAGTTTGTCTCAAAAAAAAAAAAAGTGCCCTGTTTCTGGTTCCAGGTTCCTAACAAATGGCCCTCAACCCAGCATCATAGTCTCTGGGTACTTTATTGCTGTGTTACTCTAACAATAAAATACTGGCATCAGTGATTTTCCCTGCCTGTAATATATGAAATACTCCTTAGGGAACCGAACTTAAGGTTGGGGCTGGAAGGGAAAATTTCTTCCCATTTCTATCTAGCTACTTTTCTAGTTTAAACTGTTTTTTTGTGGGGACGGGGCGGGAAGAAACTGGAATTTCAAGAGATGGTTAGAAACCAAAACAAGTTACAGGATATTTTCCAGGTTGCCTCATACCGTCCTTGTTACATGCTTCCTATCTTGATCAAGAGTCAGCTTTGGAAAAATACTGTTAGCCTGCAAGTTGACTTTTTAAAAGCGGTGTAGTTTTGAATAGGTAGTATGTGGTACAATGCAAAAGCTGTGAAAAGGCATAAATCTCTCTCACCCTTCCTATTCTAGATACCCACTATCAAGGCATTGATACCAGTTTGTTGTGGCTGCTTCCAGAGATTTGCTACCTGTGATTTCATCTACAGTGATATTACATGTGTATATAGAACTTAAACTCACGCATAGTAGTGGTAGTACTTAACAGTCCTTCTTGGCTGTCTTTAGTTTTCAGTTTTCCTTTCTTTTCTTTTTTTTCTTTGGAGACGGGATTTTGCTCTTGTTGCCCAGGCTGGAGTGTGATGGCATGATCTTGTCTCACTGCAACTTCCACCTCCTGGGTTCAAGTGATTCTCCTGCCTCAGCCTCCCAAGTAGCTGGGATTAGAGGCATGCACGACCATACCCAGATAATTTTTTTGTGTTTTTGGTAGAAGTGGGGTTTCACCATGTTGGCCAGGCTGGTCTCAAACTCCTGACTTTAGGTAATCCGCCCACCTCGGCCCCCTAAAGTGCTGTGATTACAGGCATGAGCCACCGCGCCCTGCTAGTTTTCAGTCTTATTTCTGCCAAACTTCCCATTTGTTGCCTCCATGAAGATGGTCCCAGTTTATATTCTCCACAGGCGATGTATGTGAGTGCCCTCAACCTCCCGCCACACAGCAGCACCTTATCCAACACTCTTGAGTTTTGCCAGTCTGAGGAAAAAATAGTACCTTATAGTGGAACTTTCCATTTCTGTTACTTTTATGATAACCTAAAATTGAAGTTAGGTATCTTCTCAAGACAAATTTAAAATATTTGTCCAGTTTGTCTCTTGATTTGGTTTATGTGTGTTTTGCCATGAAAACTGCTTAAAAATACGTTTATGGCTTTTAGATTTTGTATCATTTAGCAAGGTCTTCCTCAGTTGGAGAGTATAAAAAAGAATTTATGGTTTTAAATACATATTTTTAAAAGTCTTTGATCCATCTGGAATTGTACAATAAGATTAGGAGGTATGCAGGTTTACTTTTGAGGCAAAAATATGTATTAAGTAACAATTTTATATAGAAAACTTGGGAAAATATAGGAGGGAATGAAAGTGAACCCCAGTCCCAGCACCTTATTATTTGTAACAATTGGGATCATGCTCATGCTGAATTCATTTTTTTTTCACTTGAGATTAAAATACAAATATAGGTTTAGAATATATTTTAATTTATTTAATATTTAATTTTTGTGGGTACAGTAGGTGTATATCTTTATGGGGTGCGTGAGATGTTTTGATACAGGCATGCAGTGCAGTGCACAATAATCACATCGTGGAAAATGGGGTATCCATCCTCTCAAGCATTTATCTTTTGTGTTATAAACACTCCGATTGTACTCTTCTAGTTATTTTTAAAGGTACAAGTAAGTTATTGTGGACTGTAGTCACCCACTCCCTGTTGTGCTGTGAAATGCTAGGTTTTACTCATTTTTATTATTTTTTTTGTGCCCATTACTCCCACACTACCTTTCCCAGCCTCAGATAACCATCCTTCTGCTGTCTATCTCTACAATAATTTTAAATGGTTGCTTAAAAAGGGTGTCGACATTTTTGTTTTTAAACCATTCCAAACTGTCCCTTTGAAGGAACGCATGACCAGAGGCTTGCGTTTAAATCTTGCACAATTAAAAGAAAAGCTTTTTCTCTGAGCCAGCTATCTCAGGAAATCTTGCACGATTTTGAAGATGCCCGTTTTCCATCAGACGTGACCCAGCGGGAGCACTTGGCGGATCTTGGCTGAGCGAGGGTGCGGTGGACCGGGCTCCGGGAGGGCGCCCGCTGGGGGCCTGGCCTGGCACGGTTGCAGCACCCCCTAGCGGCGGCAGCGGGAGTGCGGCGAGGGAGGCGCCAGGAGGCTCCCGCCCCGTCTGGCGTCACCCTCGGGTCTGTCCCCGGCCCGGGGCGAGCCCTTCTCCTGCTCGAAGTCCTTTAATCGCTAAGGAGCTTTCCCAGACGCTGCCCTCGGCAGGCCTGCTGGCCTCTGACGCACGTCCCCTCTGCGGGGCGTTTGGGCACTGGAGGAGGCCTGGCGCGCACCGGCCGCCCGCATCCCCCGCTGAGGAAGGAAGGCGGGTGGTGGGGCGAGGGCGCTGTTCCTTCCCGCGCCCTCGTCGCCCATGGGGCTGTTTCCAGAAGTTGGGGACTTCCGGGGTTGCGCTATTGCGCCGGGCCGGTGGGCCACCGAGGGGTGTCGCTGCGCCCGCTGCCCGGCGCGGCCCTTTAAACTTTGTTTTTTAAACTTTGGGGGTGTGGTCACAGCGCCTCCCCTCTAGGCGGCTGGCCGTCCTTGCCTCTGTCCCGCCTTCCAGATGCTTTGGAGTCATGAGCCGGGAGGGCGCGGGGGCAGCTCTAGTGGCGGAGGTGATCAAAGGTGAGCCGCAGGGGCGGGTGCTTGGGGGCGGGCGTGGGGGGAGCTCCAGCACCCGCACAGGGATGGGGCGGGCTGCCTTCGCCGGGAGACACCCGCTGTCAGGGCCCGGGCCGCGACTGGTCTCTGCGTGGGTGGCCTCGGCGCTCGTCCTGGGGCCCTGGGCTTCCGCGCTCATGGGCGGCTGTGACCCTTGTGTGCCTGCATCTGAACCTACGTACGTGAGCTGCACCTCTCCGCCCGCGGGAGCGAGATCCTTGGACGCTGTCGCAGGGATCAAAGGTCCTTGTGGTTGGAAAGGATTAAGCCCTGTCACCCATTTGAGTGTTTGTGGTTGCAAGAAATTTTAGCTGAGGAGTTTACAAGGAAATAAACTAAGCAGTTGCATGAGTTGAATTGCAGATAGAAAAAAGTTTACCATTTGGAGAGAGGGTGCCGGCTGGCTCTGCTGAAAGTATATATATTTTAAAGGCTGTACTTGATTTTGCCACGTTGTGAGTGTAAGTATTTTCCTAGCACCACTGATATTATTATTAGGTATTGTGGATGACTTGATTTCATCCGAGGATTTTTAGGCAAGGAAGAAGGGTGGGGCCTCCTGACTCTTAACCACTCATTACCATTCTTGCTAAACCTCACAGCAGCCTAACTGCGTTTATGCAACACAAGTTCGTCTCAGACTCATCATGCAGAGACCTCATTGATTCTGTTTTAATGGTAATTTGTCTAATTGTGAAAATACTGAAGTAGTGATTCCAAGTTAGACAGTAGTGATCCCAAAGAACAGTTGGAGAAACATATGGTTTGTTCTATAGCTGTAAGTAGTAATTTTGAAGCAATTTTGAAAGCATTCTTTCTCTTTAAGAAAAAAATAGTTTTTTACCAAATTGACTTTTTAGGATGCCTTGAAAAACGTAGTGAAATTCATCTAGAAACTTACAAGGTTGATGCCAGCCATCACATGCATGCTATAGTTTGCTGAAATGTCTTAATCCAAGGGAGCTAAACTTTTATGGAAATAGGTTCATTTAGAAATACATCACTACATGAAAAGCCACCACTTTTGAAACTTAGGTTAAAGGCAGTTTCTCTTTTAAAAATATGCTCATTATTACCCACCCAAATAGCCAGAATATTTTGTAATTACCCATTACCACCCCTACCATCTAAAACATGCATGGAAAAAAATGAAAAATTGACTTCATCTGAAAAGAGTTGTGTCATGATATATAAAACGTTTTTTATAACCTACAGGAAGGAACATTGCAATTTTTCCATTTCAGATCGCCTTTGTTTTGCCATTCTCTACAGCAGACCAAAGAGTGCATCAAATGTACATTATTTCAGCATAGATAATGAACTTGAATATGAGAAGTAAGTATTGCTTTTTAAAAGAGTGTAACTTTTTTTTTTTTTTTTTTAAGAATCTAAAGGTATGGTTATAAATGGGACAGCCTGGGGAAATTATAAATTTATTGATTTATGATTACAGGATGCTTAGGATGCTTGTTTTTCACCTGTGGTAATAAAATAAACCTTTAGAGGAAAAAAGAGAACCTCCCTAAACTTAAACATTTAGATTTACTTGTCTAATGTTTATACTACAATGAAATATAAATGTGTGCTAAGTAAGATATTGTGGTTTTGCTCTTGGAGATATGTTTGGAAAAACAGCTTTTTAAATTTAGAAAGTATGTTGATGTTCATTGATGTTAGATTTAGGCATTATAACACTCGTGGCATTTAAAAATAGGCGTTATTTACCAGAATAGTCTTCCACTAGTAAAACAGTACCTTTAAGTTGTATTGGCCCCTAACAATTTAGTATGTGCTTACTCATCTTAATTTGATATTGTTGACCCAAAAAAGGCATTTATATTCAGAGCATCTAGAATGTACATACACATTTTTATCTTTCATTTTTAAAGCTTCTACGCAGATTTTGGACCACTCAATCTGGCAATGGTTTACAGATATTGTTGCAAGATAAATAAGAAATTGAAGGTAAAGTTTTTAAGATTTGACTTAATCATTTTTCGCTTGATCTGGGGGACAAAAGTAAGGAAAACATCTCTATTTTTAAAAAGGAAATGCCATGTTTTTCACGCAGTGGTGTTTGGGACATGCATATGGTTTTTTTGTTTCATAAGATCATAGTGTATCTATTTGTTTTATAGAGTTTTGAAAGAACAGTTCAAGTTTGGGTCATTTGGCTCTAGTTTGAATTAGTGATGCTTAAATACTTGAAAAGCCAAAGTGGGAATCAGTTAATTAAGTGAACCCCATATTGTCTGACCTAATAGAACTGAAACCTAACAAGAGAAATTCTTCGCTTGCTTTGGCCATTGTTCTTTTGGGCTTCATTTTGGTGAGGAGTGCTAGCAAACTAACAAGGAAGATGGGCTTATCGTACTTTCTCTCCTGTTTTGAAATTCCCATGATATTGTGCTACATGATCCTTTATACATGTGATTAAGGGACATGAGAATCTAGGGCAAAAAGCACGTCCTTAAGGCTGTATCACTGAGAGTTACACAGGTATATTTGTATTGGTTTGAACTTAGACCCCATTCATGTATGTAAAACACTGAATTGTTGGTCATGCATGGTAGGAAGTGTGTACATACTACTTACCAGCAGTTCTAAATCAGGCACTATAAATTCTCAACTAGAAAATACTGCTTTTTGGGAAGGGCACTTAAAAAAAAAAATCTTTGCTTATCAGACTACTACAGATAGGAAATACAATTTACTTTTAATTGGAATTTTAACATGCTTTAATTAAGCATTTATGGGTAAGGCAATTGTTTTTCCTGGAGCATCAAGGCTATATTCACTACATATTGCTACAGAGCAGGAGACTCTTCTTTTTTGCCTTTCTTAAATAGGAATATAACTATTTATGGCCTTGTGCATTTGGGTTCTCCCTCCTTTTTCCAGTTGCCAGTGGCAGATCTTTTGTTTCGTGCAGGCTAGGAAGCTAAAAATAATTCTCTCTTCCCCCAACATTTGTTCCTTTGCTTTAATTTTGGAAAAAAAATTTTTTTTTTCCCTGTACTCCGCCATCTGTGGACTTTTAGTCTTTGGGTCAACTAAAAATGTATCAGTTCTTTTTTTTTTTCTCTTTAAATTATTTACCAGAACAACTTGTAGCATGTTGGTAGCATGCTACCAACCTGATTGACTATCCAATCTGATTGACATATTACTGCATATTCAATTAATAGTGATAAAGATATATCAAGAGTTTAGATGGAGAGTGTCTTGTGCTTGTGCTGCCCAGTGGCTGGTGTGTTTTCATTTTTGTTTTTGTTTTTGTCGTCGTTTTTTAAATCAACTTGGATCTCTATCTCCATGCAAACAACTAAAGGAAAATACGTACACCTTCATCATTGAAACACTAGAACGTTGAAACACTGACTTACAGAAGCCAAGAAATACATGCTTATTGAGCTGATTATATCCTGTTCCTTATCCTGACCTACGTCTACTCACGTTAATGAAATACAGCTGGGGATGTGCTAACTAATCATGGTTTTGTTTTGTTTTAATTCTGTACCCATTTTATATTTAACTTTTTAACATCCTCATACATACACATCCCCTTTTTAACATATATATAGAAATATGTGCACATCATGGATCTGGAGCTCTGTGAACTTTCACAAGTGGAATATACGTAGATGATTATCTTTTCACCAGGTCAGGAGCAGTGCACGGGCAGAACCCACAGCAGCCTTCCGTGCTGTCTTCCAGTTCCCGGCTCTGCACACTCCTCCCCTGGTTATTCACTGCCCTAGCTTATGACAGTGCAGACAATTCCGTATACCTTTTTATTTTAATTTAAAGGTTTTGGGGACAGATTTCTTTAAAAACCAAACGGAAGGAAAGGTGACCTCTTTCACCATGCTTGCTTTCCTCTTTCAGAGGCAGCCTGTGCTTTAAGCATATACCCATTCATGTGCCCTCCTCTCTCCTCTAATTGTATGTCCATTCTCACCCCAGAATGTGCCTTTTTATGGGAAGACATGTGGTATTTTTGGGTATCAACGTTAACCTTTTCAAAAGTCTTGCTAATAATATGAATGGTTATACATTGTGGGATTTGAAATTCATCTTCATTACAAAATGAAATTGTAGAAGACTTGAAATTAAAAAGAAAATACTAATAGCTGTTTTTTTTATGCAGTCCATTACAATGTTAAGGAAGAAAATTGTTCATTTTACCAGCTCTGATCAGAGAAAGCAAGCAAATGCTGCCTTCCTTGTTGGATGCTACATGGTAAGTATTTGTTTTCCTATTGTATGCATGAAAATGCACACAACAGTGGTTCTTTACATTTGCTGTTAGATTTTTGAAATCAAGATGTCTTCAGTTCTCTTCAGAAAGAACATGTTTTTTACTTTTAAAAAATTGACCAACTCAAGGAGGTTGTGCATCTGTGGAAGGAGTGGGTAGATGAGAGATCTCCTGTACCTTCCACTTAATTTTGCTGTAAACCTAAAACTGCTCAGAAAAAAAGTATTTTTTTTAAGTGGCCAACTGCTTTGGCAAAGGTTTATGTTTTATGGCACTTAAGGTTGGAAAATAATGCTCCAAAGCTATTTCTATTCATTCATGATCCATTTAGTCAGTTGTAAAATCATCTTATTGGAGTCAGGACCTCAATATTAATTTTCTAAACAATGTTTTGAAAAATGAAGGCACATCATTCAAGTGCTTTATAAAATTTGAGTCTCGGCATTTTCCTCCTAATTAACGTCGTATC